TTTTCAAAAAGGCTGATTCTTGAAAAACAGAGTAGCAAGGGACATGGCTGTGCTTACTTCTGACTTAGGTCATCGCTAAGAAGAATAATATTACCTTAATGTTAGAGATCTATACTCTAAGTTTTAAGTTTATGCACAGCTGATCATATGCATCAAAAGCCACAAGATGTTAAAGACCAGATTAACCAACTATGTACATACCTGGATTAAATTTGTTTCTCAGTGGGCTTCCTCTTGTGATTGAAGAATAGTGCATATGCTGTTGTGAATGTCCCTTACAGGCTCATGCTAATAATACCGTTTCATACAGAAGGGTTCTACTGTTATGTCCAGAAAAAATTCTGATCCTCTATTTCATATGTACAAAGTAATACAGTATATCAAAATAAGCTAGGTTAAATGTAATATTACTGTGCTCTTGTTAGAGGTCCTTGTTAGCATCAATGCTTTGGTTTATTTTATCTCAACTATACTGTGCCAAAGAATCATCACATAGAAATGGCATCTTTTAGTAAATATAATTTGGATATGGTTCATTTCTGTAATTTTCTTCTTCAAATTTATGAGAAATCAAGCCTTCATTTTGTTACATCCCCTTGTTTACCGAACTTACATTCATAGGTCATATGTAAGCTTGAGAAGAAGAGCCCCTTTATAGTTAAAGTTTAATCCCTCTGATTATGTTGAATGAGCAGTTGTACTGTGGTATATAGTGTCCCTTAGATTTAATTTACAGCATTTCTGTAAACATAGCATTTTGTGCATTTTCTTCTGGATTCTTAGATACATGAGTAGGAGGCATGTATGTGAAGTCTGCCAAATTGGTAACTTCTTATCATAATTGCTATCTCTTTTGTTATCTAAAATGTAATTAAAATCCTGTATTTTGCCTATGGTGTTCTAAGTTCTAATCCACTTAAAGGAAGAGAAATGGCAGCTTTAGTGATAGTATCTTGTCAAGATTCTTACTCCCACTTTGCTAAATCACACCCTCTTACCTAACTGGCTTTAAAAAAATATTTCAAATTATTTCTTTTGTTAACGTACAACCCTTCAAAATTAGAATGAAAAATTTAATGGCCTCAATACAGTGCAGTCCTGTTTGAAAAGTCTGATTTATCTTCTGTGGTTCCTTTTTTTTATACTAGTATTTCCTTGTTATGCCCTTGGTATTTCATAGCTGTCCTTTTTAAGCGCTGAAGCAATTAGTTTTGAGAAGGCTAATTCTTCAGGGTCCAGTGCTTTCCTGCCTTTCATTCACCGAAGCTGTACATTTTAATGAAGTTGTTTCATCTGTGTTGCCAAACACTAGAATTTAGCTGCTTCAATTCTAATTATCTCTGCTGGCAAATGCTATGTTTTATTAAAGCTGTCAAGTGCACTGTTCATTAAATGTCCACAGTCTGTGGTGCTGTGCACACAAATTAGATCAGCTTTGCTCCTTGATGGATTATGAAGAAGTTAAATATTTTTATATAAACCTCTAAAATCGAGTCTAACAGCAATCAGCGATGACTTGGAAAAGTAAAGCGTACCTGTAGCTTCTTGAAACCTAGTATCTTGTCACAATCCATCTATGATACATATGTTAAAACTCTAGTAGTACAGCTGAGTATACCATTTGTAAGATTATTTTATTCATTAAGAGACCATTTTTCTTCCTTAACATATCTGTGTTGCATCTTGAATTCTAGTTTATATGTTTTTAGGGTAAGATAAGTTCTGTTATGTATGCTTTGATGTAAGTAGAAGCATGAGTGCTAGTCTTTCAGTAGAGAGTTGTATAGTATAATTGATCTGCATTACAAGTGAAGATGGCTTCATTTTAATGTTTTAACCTAGTGAATGCAAAATATTGCTCTTGTAAGCAACTACCAGTGTCTCTTGGAACTGTATGTCTCAAAAGGTAATTTTACTCAAGATGTTCACTTCAAATATATGGGGCAGTAATAGAAATATTGTACTTGCAAAGAAGATATTTCAGTCAGCTCTCGTTTTGGCACTTGTGGAATTCTTTTGCTTTTAATTTTATGTTTTTAGTGTATGTATCAATATCTTCAATAACACAAATATTCATTCCTACCTTTTAATGTATTGTTTTCTAAATGTTCTGTAGGAGAATTAATAAGATACTGTGATGCTAGACTACCAGATAAACATGTTGTTGATCTTTTGAAAAAGTGTTTTTCTTACCCTTCAGCTATCTGTAGGAAATAACTTCAAATTTATTTTTAGTACCATGGCTTTATGGTATCTTTTTTCTGTATCGGTTACCTTGTCTTTTGAAGAATGTAGTGTTTATACTTTGCAGCATTGCTTTTAAATTTATCAGGCTGTATTTTAAACTTTCAGAGGAACAGGTATTTCTTGTACTCTTTGTAGAAATCATAAATGACGTCTCAAAGTGCTATGTAAAGTAAATAGAACTTTGGGGCTCTTGGATATATATTTTTTTTAATTTTTTTTAGGCTTTAGTAGGAAACTACAGTCCTTCAAAGGCTGTGAGCCACTCTTCCTTGTCGCTTCTCCTTATGATCCGGTTTAAAGTGCTCTAGTATGAACAGAAAATTCATACAGCCTGAAGTTGAATAGGAGGCTGTGGATGTTTTTGTATTTCTTTGTCTGTCAATGTATTACACGCCTTATCATGTATATCATAGAATGGTTTTGGTTGGAAGGGACCTTAAAGGTCATCTAGCTCCAACTCCCCCTGCCATGGGCAGGGACACCCTCCACTAGACCAGGTTGCCGAAAGCCTCATCCAACCTGGCCTTGAACACTTCCAGTGGGGGGGGCATCCACAGCTTCTCTGGGCAACCTGTTCCATTGCCTCACCACCCTCACAGTGAAGAATTTCTACCTAATATCTAATCTAAATCTACCCTCCTTCAGTTTAAAGCCATTACCCCTTGTCCTGTCACTACATGCCCTTGTAAACAGTCCCTCTCCAGCTTTCTTGGTAGGCACCCTTTAGGTACTGGAAGGCTGCTGTAAGGTCTCCCTTGTTCCAGGCTGAACAACCCCAACTCTCTCAGCTTGTTCTCATAGGAGAGGTGCTCCAGCCCTCTGATCAGCTTTGTGGTCCTTCTCTGGACTCGCTCCAACAGGTCCATGTCTTTCTTGAGCTGGGGATCCCAGAGCTGGACACAGTACCATATTTCATGGTATTTACAGGAAATAATAACATTTAATTTTAGGTTTTGAGTGCAGAAACAGAAATTAATGCTCTCAAAGCAACTCTCAGCCTCTGCCTGCCAAACCCGTTCCTTCAGTAGTTAAATGTTTAAAGGAAAACCTTTGTTCTTCCCATAACATAACCCTTTATACCACTGTAACAGAGGACTTTCCAAAGTGACATTGAAGATGCATTTCACAGTATTCTGCATTTTATCAGACTAATCAAGAAATAAAAATCAGGAGTGTCTCACTTGAGAATTTCTTGCAACCAGTTATATGACATTTCCAAGCAGGTATTCAGATAGTGTGACATATCCTAAATGCAGTGCTGATGACTTAGTCCTGGCCCAACCCAAAAAGTGGCTTATAAACTAGAGATATCACTCTGAATGTCATTCATAGGTTGACTTGAAGTGAATTCTTAGAAGAACAGTAAAATATGTTCTTTGTGATTGCTGCTGGCTATCAGTCAAGCAGCCTAATTCTGCACCAGCTATGGTATTTAGATGGTCATAAGATTATCCTAAGGAAGGATAGATTGCTCCTGTTGTTTTCAAGCATACATCTGAGACAGGAGATCATAAATACCTGAGCAAAGAGATATAGAAAATAAATTGTTCTTGGCCACCAGTGCTTGTCTCTTAAAGGAACTTTCAGGGAGAGTGTTTCTTTGACTGTATTCAAGAGCTGAAGTAATTTTTGTCATCTGAAATATTTAACCCAGCTTCAGACCAATAATCTTTTGTCTTGTTCAACTTAAAGTATAACTGTTTTCGAAGGCATACTGTCAGACAGGAGATGGATCAGAAGAGATCGCATATTTTGTGGCAGTGAAGTAGTTGAGTGATAGCAGTATTGAGAGCTTGATGGGAAAGGGAAGTGTGGAAGTCATCTAGGTGCATGTGAAAAGTCTGCAATATGTGGAAATTATGACAGTTTTGTCTTAATGTTGTTATTTTCACTTTGGGTGTATGTTTCTATTTGGCTTTGAATCTGAAAAATTAGACAAAATATTTCCTGAACCTTCTAGGAAGATTTGAAGTGTATTCAGGCTTATATTTATATCTAGATTTGGATTTGGAAAAGCTTCTCATGTTTTGGCTTCTTGGAAATTACCTGAGTTATTACTGTCACTAGTGTGAATAAATAAATATTTTGATTGCACTGCCTTATCCACCCTTCTCAGGTTGAGTGTGCAAGTGTGTTAACTACGACAGAGGAAAATAAAGTTCTTTATAAACCCTGACACGTTCCTTTTATCAGTATAGTCTCAGAAAACTGTGAAAAATCACTGAAGCAATCATCAAGCATAAGACATCATGAGTGATGCAATTTGTTACAGAAATAGGTCTTTAACATGCATGTGAAATTAATTTTATACTTTGAAAGTATACAAACAAAAACCACAAATAAATTTTATGACTTACTGTGGGTTATCAAGTTGAAACTGAAAAGACTAAAATTAATACCATTAATAAAAGAAATACTATACAAAGGGAAATGTTCCTGGTTCTGAATATACAGAGATTAGGTTTATAAAGCTCTATGTCATTTCTAAAAAGTCCTAAAATTTTAGACCTAACTAGGAATTCTTTTAGTTCAAAAGAACATGGGAGAAGTTTTGGTCCAAGATTTTAGATTTGGCTCCCTGAAATTAATATGCTCTACTAAGATATTTGGCTGGTTTTCCAGTATTTTAAATGTTGAACTTTAAGGGATTGAGAGAGTATTGCTTTTGTATTACTACTTTTTTGGGAGGGAATAGTCTTTTTCTAAGCTTGCAAAAGAAAAACTAGGTTATTTTGTTGCTGTTGTTTTTACAGGAACACCAAAACAGTATACTTGGGAATACAATGCAAACTGTAATCGCCTTACTGAATAACATGGTTGCTAATAAAAGCACGAACATGATGTTGCTCTTTGAAGAAGGTATGTTGTCTCTATCTTTAGTCATTCTCCTTACTGTAGAAGTTTCCCAGTGTGTTGTAATATCTGGCATTGTGTGAAACTGTAGATTTGTATGTATTTATATTCTATAGTGGTTGTTAGATAATAGCATTGCAGCTGACTGGTACTCCCCATCACTTCATCTACCTCCCTTATTGAGTTGATTATAAATTTAACTTTTAGAAAGCTGTTCCTCCAGGAAAATGTGGTTACCAAAGAATTACTGACTGAAAGTTACATTATGCCTATGAAGAACAGCTTTGGAAAGGAGTGGGCTAGAGCTCTGACCTTAACAGTGCACAGTGCAGGCAGAGAGAACCTCTGCAAGTTCTTCCTCTTCTCACTCCTCAAACCTGTGAAAGGATAAGTTGTACAATGTTTCTGCACTCTTTAAAAAACTAGCTTCTGTTCCAGTCCAGTGATGTAGACTAATAGTGTGGAGCCTAAACTAACTATGAAGTCTTAGTCTACAAACCGTTCCATGTCTTCATTTCACCGTGTTTTATTGTTGAAACTCCTCTAATTTAGAAATTAGTTTTCGTTCACAAAATGGAGAGAAAGTTTCTGCTGTTGGAAACCTATATAAATTTAAAAATTTGTTTAGATATACACACATTGATAGCATTACTTTTGTTTATCATTAATGAGTGACATCCAGCAATACAGATATACACTACTGTTTGCACTGTTCATATAGAATAAATCAGACTTAGACTACTGGCGTAGTAGTATATAGCATACTCCAGAAGAAAAAGGAAGACATTTGCATAGAGAGACAGTGAAGAGTTGAGAGAAAACCATTTAAAAGTCTCTAGAAAAAGATTGGGTGGGGTGTGATGGGGAAACTTCAGCAGAGTGTAGTTTTTCTATAGTTGTCACATCAGAGAAGGATCCAGATGAGACATAGTATGATTAATGGTTTAAGTATATAAACAGTGATAGTGATGAGCAAATTTGTAGAATTTGATCTTCCTTAGATATGCAATTAAAAAGAGAAGATAAATCAGAACACATACCAGCCTAAAACTCCATCAGGATTGGTGGTAGTGGTCATGCCCTCATTTTTGTAATTACCTTAGCAGGTAAAGCATTCACCCAGAAAGTGGGAAAGTTGAATTCCTGGTCCTTTTTACTCTGAAGGGATTGAATGGACAATGCCATTGTTCAAGAGACAAACTGGAACTTGACATTGTAGCTAATAATATGCACCTCTCCTCTCTGTTTCAAACAGATCCACTCTGAAGTTAGTGGTGTGAGAACACTTAGAACTGCTTGGAGTTTCTTGGCATTTAGATATATGTGCTGCTTTTACTGTCTTTGAGCACATCTGCTCTGTGTCGGGCAAAATCCTAAGATAGCACTGACCTGCAACAGGATAACTTATTAAAAGTGCACAATGATGTGCAAAGAAGTTAACTCAAGTCCCAGGAGCGCTGTAACCACATAATTGGCATGCTTTACTCAAAGTAATATGCTCTGCCTTTCCGCGTGGCAAATTGGGTGCAAAACTACTTAACAACATGGCAAAACTGCATCCATTCCCTAAATATCTCCTCTTTATTGTCTCACAGAGCAAACTCCCATGTACTTTTTATGCTGCTGGTCATATATCAGTGCTCTTTCACTTCTCTGCTCCAAAAATAAAATGCATCTCTTCCATCATGCTACTTTCAAAATTAAGGAAGTGGCATAGGAACATTATTAAAGTCTTTTATCTTTTCCTTGTGCTATGTCATAAATGACTCTAGTAATATTTTCAGACTATTAGTGATTGGATAACACCAACTTGGGCTCACTGAACTTCAGTATCCTGACTAGGAAAAACAGAACAGCAGCCAAAAATAATTTATCTCAAGTAAAATGTCCCCATCTTCTGTCATCCCTTTTCTCCATTGGCCAATCTTCAGAGAACTGAAAACCTGGATTTTGGCCAGTGCTTTATTGATTAATGGCCTAACTGCCAAGTAAAGAACTTCTGAAATTTGGTTTGCAAGAATGTTATGAAGGTATTGATCTTGTAATTGTAGACTGTACGATTTTTTTTGAATGAAAAAGGGAGAAAAGGAGGATCCAGGGAACTTACAGCCCTGTAAGTCTGACCTTGGTGCTGGGGAAGGTTTTGGAGTAGATAATCTTGAGTGCCTTCATGCAGCACATACAGGACAACCAGGCAATCAGGGCCAGTCAGTATGGCTTTATGAAAGGCCGGTCCTGCTTGACTAACCTGATCTCCTGTGACAAAGTGACGCCCTTAGTGGATGAAGGAAAGGCTGTGGATGTTGTCTGCCTGGACTTTACTAAAGCCTTTGACACAATTTCCCACAGCATTCTTCTGCAGAAGTGGGCTGCTCATGGCTTGGACAGGCATACTTTTTGCTAAGTAAAAAAACCTGGATGGCTGGGCCTAAAGAATTGTCATGAATTGAGTTAAATCCAGCTGGCAGCTGGTTACAAGTGGTGTTCCCCAGGGCTCAGTACTGGGGCCAATTCCATTTAATATCTTTATCAATGATCTGGACGAGGGGGTTGAGCGGTCCCTCAGTAAGTTTACAGACAACACCGACTTGGGCAGGAGTGTTGATCTGCTTGAGGGTAGGAAGGCTCTACAGAGGGAACTGGACAGGCTGGATTGATGGGCCAAGGCAAACTTTATGAGGTTCAACAAGGCTCAGTGCTGGGTCCTGCACTTGAGTCACAACCCCATGGAATGCCACAGTTAGGTTACTGGAAAGGTTTCTGTTGGAAAAAGACCTGGGGGTGTTGGTTGACAGCTGGCTCAATATGAGCCAGCAGTGTGCCCAGGTGGCCATAAGAAGCCCAACAGCATCCTGGCTTGTACCAGGAGTAGTGTGGCCAGCAGGATGAGGGAAGTGATCATCCCCTGTACTCGGCACTGGTGAGGTTGCACCTCAAACACTGTGTTCAGTTGAACAAAACTGTACACAAAGGACGTTGAGGTGCTGGAGTATGTCCAAAGAAGAGCAACGAAGCTGGTGAAGGGTCTAGAGCGCAAGTCCTATGAGGAGCAGCTGTGGAAACTGTGCATAAACAAGCCTGGAGAAGAGGAGGCTGAGGGGAGACCTTCTTGCTCTCTACAACTCCCTGAAAGGAGGTTGTAGCCAGGTGCGTGTCGGTCTCTTTTCTCCCATGTAACAAGCGACAGGACAAGAGGAAATGGCCTCCAGTTGCACCAGGGGAGATTTAGATTGGATATTAGGAACAATTTCTTCATTGTGAAAGGGTTGTCAAGCCTTGGAAGAGGCTGCCCAGGGGAGTGAATGAGTCACCATCCCTGGAGGTAATACAAAAAAGACCTGTAGATGTGGCACTTCGGGACATGGTTTAGTGGTGGACTTGGCATGGCAGTGTTAGGTTAACAGTTGGACTTGATGATCTTATAGGTCTTTTCCAACGTAAGCAATTCTATGACTCTATCAAAAGTTATTTCATACAAACTGGAGGGTTTTTTATCCTTTTTGTTACCAACTGTAAATGTATAGTATTCACTACAGGAAAATACCTTAAACTTCCTCTGCCACTATCTTTGATATTCAGCTTGTCATTTTTGAATTATTTTTGTATGATGGAGAAGAATATGATCTAGTAAAATGGAAACTAAGCTCCCTCTTGTAGAAAAGGATCCTGGAGTCCATATGGAAAAGTTGACCTTGAGACAGTAAAGGCAAAAGAGGGCTGCAATAAGAAAGAAGGTTAAGGGAAGTGATTATTCTTTGCTATTCGGCACTCATGAGATTTCATCTAGAGTACAGTGTCCAGCTTCTAGCTCCAAACTATAAGACAGGCATTTATAGACAGGAGCAAGTCCAGAGGAGGTCAACCAAGATGTTTAAGAGCGTGAACCACGGTGTGTGTATTTCCAGCCTCTGTCTGTACTATTACATTAATTTATTCCTTCCCAAGAGCAGAATTTGTATTTGCCTTTGTTAAAGTTTAAGAGGTTTCTGGCAGCCCATTTTTTGAGATCTTTCTGAATGTTAGCTCAGCCCTTCATCACATCAACAACTTGCCTCATTTCAATGTCACCTGTAAACTTATTGAAGGTGCATGTTATTCCATCCTGTTAACACTCTATGTCCATGCTGTTGATGAAGGTATTCAACATTCATGAGCTATTCTATTATCTTAAAAAAAAAAAAAAAAAAAAGGCTGAAGAGAGAATATTATGGGTCATCAGTTTCCCCATTACAGTGTGATAATTAATTCATGTATATATGGAGCTTTAGAAATTAAACCTCCTAAATTCTTGCTCAACATTATAAGGAACTCAGGTTAGGGGGTCAATCCTGCCAAGTTTTTTTTGTTTCCAAGAGTCCAGATGTTAGAAATGAGGATTTCTTTCATATTCTGTATATGCTTTTCTTTAGCTGGCAAGAAGCAGTGTTTTTGCAGACAGATCATTCAGAGACCCTTGTCACTGTTTCCTTTTGTGCCTCTTAGCCTTCAGAGCTGTCTCCTGCTCAAAAGAGTTATATTAGGTGATAGAGATTTCTTTTTTTTAAGTGGGTTGCAGTTTACGTGTTGAACTTTCCCCTTTCTCAAGGAAATCTTGCATGATGGCACTTGCTTCATTATTACTACTGTGATTTCATATTAATAACAGTGATACAGTTGTGCATTTCAGCAACTTGCGTACAGGGTGGATTGCCTAGCATTAATTTCTCTCTCCCCTGAGCTGTATCCTTTGCTGTGACAATACATCAGACATGTAATGATAACCACTTGTAATGTTTAAGGGTGAAAGGGAGAATAACGTATGCACCTAAAGTCACAGAAGGAATTTAAAATGGCCTGTACTTGCGTTATCAGCTATTAAACATTTGTTCTGTTAACATTAATGACAATTTCCATTTAATAATCAGAAGGGAATAGTATGATTCAGTTTAATTACTGAGACTGCAATTCAGTAAGGAGACTGGGATTAATATAGGTCTCTTGTGAGTAGTTAAGGTGAGATGCTAAAA